GCTGCTGAGCTGCAGTGACTTGGCAGCAGCAGTTCTCAGGTGACCCACCCTGAAACCAGAGAGGAGGGAGCCCGATTCCTCATGGGACTGCATGATTCCACCTTCAGCCGTTGGTTATGTTGTTGCTGGGGCAGTCGGCCCTGAATCTGGTTTATTGCACACTTGCATTGTGTTCCACACTCCAGGACCCCTCGGGGGATGTTGAAGAGCAGGTTTCAGACTGCTCCCTATAGACCAGGCCAAGGGATCCCACCAGCCAGAGGGACCCACTCACTCCACAGATGCCCTTCCAGCCACAGTGCCACTCCAGGTGCGGCTGGCCAGGGAGGGACCACGGGAGGTTGGCCCAGGGTATGTCCAGCCTGTCTTGGGTAGTCTCATCCTGGGGACCTAGGCTTATACTGGAGAAATCTGGGTTGTAAGGTGAAAACTCAGGGGAGTGGCAAAAGGCAGAAGTCTGGAGGCGTGCACATGAATACGCAGAGGATAGACTGTTGACTGTGCCGCTGGATAGCCCTAGTGGGAAGGAGACAAAGCTCTAGACTGCACTGAACCCCAGTTCCGGGTGAGAATCTGGGAATCCAGATTCATTGTGGGGAAGGGGGGGGGGGATTAAACTGTCTGGCAGTGGGCAAAACTCAAGGGCTCCTTTCTCTCAGCGGAACTTGCAGCGAGTACCGAAGGACACTGGGGGACACTGAGACTCAGGAACCTCATAGGGCAGGACTGACGAAAAGACAAGGCTATAGGCTCCATGCTGAAACTCCACCCCATCCAAGCTGAGCACAGAGGCTTTTGCAGTTTTGCAAGTCTAGTCGAATAAGGCTGTCTCTCAGCATAGACACAGCTGATCCTCACAGCCTGGAGGTCAACTCCTCCCACTGATACCAACAACAATCAAGACTTAACTATAACAAGGTTGTACACACAGTCCACAAAGGGGTGCACCAAGATTGTCCACCAAGTCACTGGCCCATATAGGACACCAAGCACACAAAGCTACCCTACCAACTCAGGGAAGCAATGAAAATGCAGAGACAAAGAAACAGATCACAAATGAAAGAAATGGAGGAAAACAAATGACTGGAGATAGAGTTTAAAACCATGGTTATAAGGTTTTTTAAGAATTTCCTAGAAAAGGCCAATAAATTTAGCGAGACTTTCGAGGATATGAGAGAGACCCTCGAGGATATGGAAAAGGACCAACTAGAAATTAAACATTCACTGACTGAAATAAAAAATATACAGACACCCAACAGCAAACTAGAGAAATGCAAGAATCAAGTCAAAAATTTGAAATACAAAGAAGCAAACATCACTCAACTAGAAAAGTTAAAAGAAAAAATGAATCCAAAAATTTGAATTCTTTGAATAGTGTAAGAAACCTCTGGGACAACTTTAAATATCTATATATATTTTTTATTGATTTTTTACAGAGAGGAAGGGTGAGAGAGAGAGAGCTAGAAACGTTGATGTGAGAGAAACATTGACCCGCTGCCTCTTGCACAACCCCTACCGGGGATGTGCCCGCAACCAATGTACATGCCCTTGACCGGAATCGAACCTGGGACCTTTCAGTCCACAGACCGATCCTCTACCACTGAGCCAAACCGGCTTCGGCTCTGGGACAACTTTAAGCGTACCAACATCAGAATTATGGGGGTGCCAGAAGAAAAAAGACAGCAAGGTACTGAAAATCCATTTGAAGAAATAATGACTGAAAACTTTCCCCCACCTGGTGAAATAGACTTACAAGTCCAGGAAGCACATAGAACCCCAAACAAAAGGAATCCAGAGGACCACACCAAGACACATCATAATTAAAATGCCAAGAGCGAAAGACAGAATATTAAAATCAGCAAAAGAAAAACAGTTAATTACCTACAAGGGAGCACCCATACGATTGTCAGCTGATTTCTCAATAGAAACTATGCAGGCCAGACAGGAGTGGCAAAAAATAGTCAAGTGATGAATAGCAAGAACCTGCAACCAAGAGTACTCTACCCAGCCAAGCTGACATTCAGAATTGAAGGTCAGCTAAAGAACTTCACAGACAAGAAAAAGCTAAAGGAGTTCATCAACATCAAACCAATAGTATATGAAATGCTGAAAGGTATTTGAAGAAGGAGGAGGAGGAAGAGGAGGATGAGGAGGAGGAAGAAGAGATAAAAATTATGAACAACAAATACATATCAACAAGTAAATCTAAAAGTCAAGTGAATTAAAAACCTTATGTACAGAATAAACTGGTGAATATAATAGAAACAGGGGCATAGAAAGAGAGTGGACTGACAACTCTCAGGGGGAAAGAGGTATGAGGGTGAGGGGACAAAAACGGTATACCTATGGATGAGGACAATGGGGGGAGGTAAGGGAAGAGGGTGGGATGGGAAAGGTAAAGTTTGGTAATCAGTAAATCAGTAAAAGGATTACCAGGTTAGGGAATTGCCTTGAGCCACCACTATCTCAAGACGAACCATCAGTGCTTAGCATCAGCCCTGCTAATGCCCAGTGCCCTTGGTGCACTCTCATGACAATATCGGGCTAGGGGTGACTTCCCGCATTGGGGATTTGTTTAAAACCCTTGTCCTAGAGTTTGGTTATGAAACACAGTTCTCTTCTGGGCAGCTCAGTGAGTGCCATTTCCCACTTAAAAATCATCATCATATCAGCACACATACAAACACAGATAAACACATAGCACACACCCCAGGCACCACACATTATCCTACACACGGCACATCCATACCCTACAAATAATAGTCAAACACAGGGCATTTATTTAGCTTCAGAAAGATTAACTGCAATGATTGCCGATAAGTACCTAAGGGATTAAAATAAACAAAAATTGAAAACATGAATTTTATTTTTAGTAAAAATACTCAAACTGTGGTTAAAACTATTCAAACTGTGCTAAAGGCTATAAGTAATAGTAAAAATCTCCCTCCTGCTGTGGATACTCAGTTCCACTCCCCAATAGTCTTTGGTTGCTTTCTAGAAATTGCAGCAAATACTTTTGTATGTGTGCAAAGATATGTGCACTTACAGTGTGTGTGTGTACAGGGTGGGGCAAAAATAGGTTTACAGTTGTGCAGACATGAAACAGTTTATTCTTGTATTGTTATTTATTAATTATTGTGTTACTAGAGGCCTAGTACATGGATTCATGCACATTGAAAGGAAATTAGAAGGTGGCTGGTAGGTGGAACTAGGCAGGACGGGCTGGACAAGCCCTGGAGCCAAACTCCCATGGTCTCTCCCTGGCTGGTGCACTTGGGGTGGCTCTGGGGCTCAAAGGGCATCTGTGGAGTGAGTGGGTCCTTCTGACAGGTGGGGGTCCTTCAGATTGGCCTGTGGAGGATCAGGCCGAAACCAGCAGTGCAACATCCCCCAACAGGTCCCAAAGTGCAAGAGGGCACTCTGCAAAGTTGCTGTCGCTTGGCAGTTCCTGTGTTGACCATCTGACCCATGGTGGTCAGTGCACGTCTGGCCAGCCGATTGCTTAGCATTTTATATATACCACATATAGATTTTTCATCTGAACAACTGTAAATTGTAAACCTACTTTTGCCCCGTCCTGTATATAAATGCTATGTTTCATTTTTAAAGTTGATCACCCAACACTAGTTAAGCTATTAGAATGGTGCCAGCCACAGCCCTCTCTGCCCTGGACTAGCTAACAAGCCTTTCTGGTACCTCTGCTTTTCTCACTCTGCAGAGCCGGTGTGCCTGGCCCCTGCCCTTGCTCTCTGTCTGGAAACCTCTGCGGTGGCCTCTGAGCCTGTCCCTTGGTTGAGGCCCAGGGTCCCCTCCAGCCGTTGGGGAGGCCAGTGTCCTCTCTCCCTGGTGTTCAACTCCTGACCCTGCGAATACTGTTTTGTCAATAGCAGGATGTGTTTCGGGAACACATTATGCAAGGAAAGCATTTCCCTCAGCCATTCACTTTTAATTGGTCACTCATGCAGATTTGTACTTATTATAATAACCATTGAAATGTTAAAAATGATATTATTTAACATCATTTTTCAGAGACTCAGAACTTTCAGAAAAGCTTTTTTATTCATGAGCTCATGGGGACAATCTGAAGTGCTTTGTAAATGTGCCTGTTGCCCTGGGTCAGGAGACCCAGGGAGGCGAAGTTACCTGCCCAGCCCCACAGCACTGGAATGTGAACTCCAGCCGCTGCTCATGGATCGCTGTCCGACTGTAGGCAGCGGACACTCAGCCTGTGGCTGGTGTTAGGGCCGGTGCACAGTCCTGGATGTGCATTAGTGTAAGGTGCTTTGTTCAGAAGTAATGCAAGTGATTTTTAAACCATATGTACCATAGCTCAGAGAAGCAACTATACAATATTGGTAATTAAGCAACTTGTTATAAAGGCAGTTTTTTTCAATAACATATATCTAGATTGATGCTCTAACTTTATAATTGATAAATCTTGTCTTTATTATTGAAAAACTAATCTTATAAGGTTGTGTGTGTGTGGTGTTTGTTTTTTTTTGGGGGGGGGGTAGGGACAGGTACCCTAAGATCCTGAAAGATGACACTTGGCTAAACACTGAAATTTTTCTTTCTTTTTTTAATTAGTTGTTGTGTTTAGTTAAAAATGTGCAATGACTTGAGAGCATGTCCTGGCCTAATTCTTGAAAAACGTAATTTCTCCAGCCCTCGGGCACCTGCCAGCCTGTATTTCTAGACTGAGCGGTATAAGGCGATTCCACTGGTCCCCTGAGCTCCGTCTCTGCCAGGGTCGCAGGGAGGAGCGGGTCTGGCAAGTGTTTCTAACACTGCCTCTCCTGAAGCGGTTTCTGTGGAAGGAGCTCTGGGTGGCGGGGCTGGCGGCTGCTCCCCGGTTCAGGTCGCCCAGGTACAGGTGTGCGTTTCGGGGGCGCTGTTAGCGCCGAGCCGGGTGCTGTGGATTCCCGCAGGGCTTGACGCCCGCCCGGAGGGAGCAATTCGCCCTGCTGGTCTGCAGCTCTTTTTTCTTTGCTGCTGACCAGGTCCATGGATGAAAGCCCTTCCCTGAGGCGCAAGACGGTGATGCGGGAGAAGGGCCGGCGCCAGGCCGTGCGGGGCCCGGCCTTCATGTTCAACGACCGCGGCACCAGCCTCACGGCCGAGGAGGAGCGCTTCCTGGACGCGGCCGAGTACGGCAACATCCCGGTGGTGCGCAAGATGCTGGAGGAGTCCCGCACCCTCAACGTCAACTGCGTGGACTACATGGGCCAGAACGCGCTGCAGCTGGCCGTGGGCAACGAGCACCTGGAGGTGACGGAGCTGCTGCTCAAGAAGGAGAACCTGGCGCGCATCGGCGACGCGCTGCTGCTGGCCATCAGCAAGGGCTACGTGCGCATCGTGGAGGCCATCCTCAACCACCCCGGCTTCGCGGCCAGCGGCCGCCTGACGCTCAGCCCCTGCGAGCAAGAGCTGCAGGACGACGACTTCTACGCCTACGACGAGGACGGCACGCGCTTCTCGCCCGACATCACGCCCATCATCCTGGCGGCGCACTGCCAGAAGTACGAGGTGGTGCACATGCTGCTGCTGCGCGGCGCGCGCATCGAGCGGCCGCACGACTACTTCTGCAAGTGCGGCGACTGCACCGAGAAGCAGCGGCGCGACTCCTTCAGCCACTCGCGCTCCAGGATCAACGCCTACCGGGGGCTGGCCAGCCCGGCCTACCTGTCCCTGTCCAGCGAGGACCCCGTGCTCACCGCCCTGGAGCTCAGCAACGAGCTGGCCAAGCTGGCCAACATCGAAAAGGAGTTCAAGGTAAGCCGGGCGCCCCGCGCGGCCGCAGCGGCCTGCCTGGCGCCTGCCCTGCTTTGCTCCCAAACCAGCCTTGCCCCAGGGATGTTAAGTCACCAGGGGCCGGGAGCCTTGTTTAGAAGCGATCTGATGCTTTTCCCTGCTCAGCTTGGCGCTGTGACAAATTTGTTTTCTGGACTGGGATAGGCTGGATCTGAGGACCAGGATTTTTCTGGATAACCATTATGTTCACTTTTGCCAAACGAAGGGATTTGGCTTGAATGTCTCTCTTCCCAGTTCTACCCCCTCTTGTGTAGTTAGTTGTATGGTGGGATCCAGCATGCAGGTAGGAATAGTTCACTGCCTATTAGCCCAAACATTTAGATTGAAAGTCAAAAGGTTAATATAAATGCTGCTAAAGTCATTTCATTCGTCTGACCAGGATGCCTCTTCCCGAAACCCACAAACGTGTATTCGGCAGGCGAATGTGGAACCCAGACACCAGGGCAACCAGAAAGGCAAGGGGTCCAGAGTTTTGCTTTAGTGGATCTTTGTTGTTGTTTCTGGACATCATCTCCAGTTAATCAGTGTTATTCATTTTTACAAAAATTACACATTGATGGAGAACGCTGTTATTGTTGACTCAGCTGCTCAGTCCTGTGCATTTTGGGTGGCCAGACAAATTAGCCCGGTGAGAGGAGATGGCGTTGGCGGTGGATAGAGTCAGGAGGCGGGTTTTCAGCAGGACCCTGTCTCCGGCTCTCCACCTGAGGTGATGGTACTTTGAGCTCAAAGTTCCAGCTTTGAAATGAAAAAATAAAACAGACAATGTGCTACCTAGCGAAAAAGAGGTGTTTTTCCCCTTTGTGGGCACCTATCCCGGTTCAGTTCCTTGACTTGTTTTGTGGATGTTGAGTTCCTCTGCTTTTCAGCTCAGTGTTATGATGGCAGACTGAGGAAGAACGGTTATTGTCTTTCAGATCTTAGTGCATTTTTTCATGCTTCAGTGAGATTTACACAAATGCAACTAGCAGTATAATTCAGGCCAAGGGGTTGTAAGAAAATGGAAAGTTTGATGGGCCTTTTTCCCCTTCTATACACACCAAATTCTTCCTTATTGGCCAGCTCTCATCTTGTGCTGGCGGGGCTCTGGCTGTAGGGTAATTTTATTTGTTATTCCATTAAAATATTTTTCTGGTATAAAAGCTACACATATTTATTATAAACATTTTGGAAAATGTGCGAACATACAAAGAATAAAATAAATATTTACCGCCGGGACCGGTTTGGCTCAATGGATATAGCGTCGGCTTGGGGACTGAAAGGTCCCGGGTTCAATTCCGGTAGGTCAAGGGCATGTACCTTGGTTGCGGGCATATCCCCAGTAGGGGGTGTGCAAGAGGCAGCTGATCGATGACTCTCTCTCATCGATGTTTCTAACTCTCTATCTCTCTCCCTTCCTCTCTGTACAAAATCAATAAAATATATTTAAATAAATAAATAAATAAATAAATAAATAAATAAATAAATTTTACCTTCTATTTAGTCCCTTTGAAGAGATTGTTATGTAATATTTGAAAGGCTTATTTCCTTGGGCACCAAATGAATTTGTTTTAGACAGATTTCAGAACATTTGAAAGACTCAAATTCTCTTTAGAGATAATAGAAAAACATTCAGGCAAAATAGTTCTAAATACTATTTTTTTATTTTGGCATAGTAATAAAAATATAATTCTAAATTTGTTTGCCTTTCAAATATCACTCAACCTTTTTTTAATGCGTTTTGCTTGTTATCCATTGAAAGTCTATAAAAGAGATTCTACAAAAGGGAATTTGCAGAAGATAATGATGTATGCAATTCTGCCCAGAGAAGTTATCTCAATAAAGCCATGGTTGAAAAGCCTGTCATTTTTTGCTTTCCCCTGAAGGTGGTGAAATCTATATTGATAATAGAGTTCCCTTTACTCTGACTACAGTCACATCTGATAACCTTTCAGAGGTGGGTAATATTGCAAGTAAATGGGGAGGGAGAGGAAGAAGGAGAGGGAGAGGGAGAAGGAGAGGGAGAGGGAGAAGGAGAGAGAGAGGGAGAGGGAGAGAGAGAGGGAGAGGGAGAGGGAGAGAGAGAGGGAGAGGGAGAGGGAGAGGGAGGAGAGGGAGAAGGAATGAATAAGAACAAGAACACAATTGAGTTTAAGGGGGCATGCATAAAGCTACCAGATAGCTAAGGATATGTGGAAACCATCTAAATCTCACTGTGCCTTGATCTGAATTCTATGGAAAGCCCTTGGGTGGCATAGCCTTCTCTGAGTCATGGTGTCCAGGGACAAGTCCCCTCCCCTGATTGCATATTCCTTTTCTTCCTTATTCTTACCTGTCCTGCTGTTGCCTGATTACCTGCCCTCCCCTCTCCTCCTTGCCCTCCTGCCCCACACTCATCGCCCATCTGCCAGGGCCTTAGACTGATGGAGAAAACAGCTTTCCCTGCTCTGACCCGGGACTTGGCCGGAAGGGGTGGTGGAGTGACGCTCATCGCGGAGGCAAGCAGCTCACCTCAGTTGCCCTGGTTCGTGGTGTTCTCTGTATTCTTTCCACAGAGACTTTGAGCTCAAAGTACCAGCTTTGAAATGAAAAAATAGACAATGTGCTGCCTAGCAAGAAAGAGGTGGTTTTTCCCTTTGTGGGCACCTATCCCTGTTTCATCTTCCGAATGGCCGGGAGATCTGGCATCTCGCCCCGCGAATCTCCTCCACTCAGGTGCTTGAGAGAAGGCTCCCAGCCGCTTTGCGATTTCCAGAGCTTCTTGAAGAATGCGGGAGGCCTGGGCCAGAAGCACGCGAAGGTCATTACGCCAGGAGGCTGCCCACGCTCACATACAGACTCAGAAAAATGAAGGGAGGGCAGCGTGGTGACAGGTTATTACAGGCGGGTTTTGGGTGTGCAAGTGCTGTCTGTAGCTATTCCGAGAGACAGCATTCTGGACAGGATGGCCTCTGGGTCTAATCCTCTGCGTGTCAGAGGCAAGCAAGCTAGTCATAGTCATTTATGAAGCTGTGAGAACACAAAGTAAAATTTCCTAATTCTGAGTCGGTGCACATTTTTTTAAAAAAAGGGGAAAAAAGCCTTTTGCCCTCCCTGTGCCTCAGTTTTCCTCTCTTTAAAGTAGAAGAGCAATTTCAACTATTCCCACATCAGGGCTGCCGGGAAGAGGAGAATGAATATAATCCTGAAGCAAGGTAGCATTTGATGGCAGGAAGATGTTCTAGGAATCATCTGAATAGACTCTCATTTTACAGAGAAAGCAAGGCCGATGGCCAAGACTCCATCTGCCACGCCCAGACGTGGGGTTGTGGGTCCAGTCCTCAATGCCGGTGTTCTATCCCACGTGCTGTAAGTGGATATTGAAGCCCTTCTGTAGTCCTTGATGTGTACCAAGCACACTGAGCATGTAATCCACACAGGAGCACTGTTAGGCAGGCTTATTCTCGTCAGAAAGGCTGAGTAACTTCTCAAGATCACATACCAATAGCAATGAGTGGTAGAAGCAGTGTCTGAACCTAAGAAGTCTGGCTTCAGATCGACACTTTAACCACTGCCCTCTGTTACGAGGGCAAGGATCAGACAGGCCCAGCCTACTTAGACTTGAATTTACGCTTTCCTCTTAAGGATAGAAGGGATTTTGCAAAAGGATGGAAGAGAGTTAGAAAGATGAGTCAGCCTTACAGTTGCTGTGAGTGCTGAAACCTGGAGACAGGGCATGTTGAGGATGGAGCGCCATTGTTCTTTCTCTGGCTTGTGCAGGTCCTTGGGCTTTTTTTTTTAAATTACCTTCACCCAAGGATATGTTTCTATTGATTTTGGAGAGAGAGGAAGGAAGAGTGACAGAGTGAGAGAGAGAAACATCGATTGGTTGCCTCTTGGACGTGCCCCGACTGGGGACAAGCCCAAACCCTTTTGGTGGATGGCACAGTGCTTCAACCCACTAACCCACTGGTTAGGGTGGTACTTGGGCTGTTGGGTTCCTGCTCTGCCAAGTGGGCAGCAGGTCCATCCCATAACTTCGTGGCAGGCCCAGGTGATGGGTGAGCGGCATGATGAAGATGGTTAAGCAAAACTAAATCAGGGGGAAATCATTAGGAAATGCAGAGCAGATGGTCTCAGTGAAGGAACACGAGGCAGCCCCTCCTGGTGGTCAGAGCAGGCTGGTTCCTTTTGCACCTGAGAAGGGCTGTCTGTACCCCCCCAGGGCTCCCGGGGGCTCTGCAAATAATGAGACATGCCATCCCATGACCACAGTGAAACGCCCATTATCCAGCTCTGACTGTTGTCTGTGCTGGGTTCACAGACTTCCCCCCAAGAAAGGTTTCCATAGTTATGGAAACACAGTGTTGTCCTTGTAACTTGTGTGACTGATCTCTCAGTGGATGTGAACAACCCGCATGACTTTCTTTAAGACTTCACAATGTGCAGATTACAATGTTTTAAGATAATGAGTCATTATTTAGGTATTACTGCAAAAGTGGTTCCCACATTTTCCTGAAGCATAGGAAATAGTCTCTTTTATTTCTGCTCAACGGGGCAATGGCTGTCCTATATTGTACCAAATCTTATAAAACAGTCTGAACTGAAGAGCCATATGAGGAAATTTCATCTAAAAAAATTGTATTAAAGGGGGAGCTTTCTATGGAAACAGACATGGATTTAATACTTCTGGAAGCTATAATAAAATATTTTATTAGTCTTTCAGGCATGGAAGGCAGACACTCTGCATAGAAACCAGCGACTGAACATTTTATTAATTTTATCAGTTGCCTGGTCCCAATCTGAATGGAAACCGAAGATTGAGGTTTTTATTCATTTTATCTGTTCCCTTATGAGAGGAGGAGGATTAACTGTAACTGTCCTTTATCTGGCTTTCTGCTGTCTGCAATGGAACCTCTTCTCATCTGGATAGCCTCTACACGTTCTCTCCTCCTCTTGTTTATTTTGGTTGGTGATGTGATTTTTTTCCCATCACATCATGTAAATTAATTATTTAAGGGGGGGGGGGAAATGGAGTTCCTCATGCCTTTAAAAAAAATGAAATTAGAACACCTTTTCTAAAGTAATATTTTATTGATTGCAGAGAGGAAGAGAGAGGGAGGGAGGGGGGAGAGAGAGAGAGAGAAAGAGAAACAGAGAGAGAGAGAGAGAGAGAGAGAGACAGAGAGAGAGAGAGAAACAATAATGATGAGGGAGAATCATTGATCAGCTGCCTTCTGCACATTCCACATTGGGGATCGAGTTCACATCCTGGCTCATAGGTCAATGCTCAACCATTGAGCCATGCCAGCTTTTTTTTTCTTTAAAGTATATTTTTATTGAGTCCAGAGAGAAAGGGAGGGAGAGATAGAACGTAAATAATGAGAGAGCATCATTGATCAGCTGCCTCCTGCATACCTCCTACTGGGGATGGAACCCACAACCCAGGCATGTGCCCTTGACCGAAATCAAACCCGGGACCCTTCAGTTCCCAGGCCAATGCTCTAGCCACTGAGCAAAACCAGCTAGGGCCATGCCTTTTTTTTTTTTTTTTTTAAGGTATGCTTTATGGAAGCCCAGAGTAGGAAATTCTGCTGTGCAAAGTATTGTTTAGTTATTTGACACACAGTGTCTCAGGACACGTCAAAATGAGGAATCCATTTTTCTCAAGGACACCACGTTAGATAATCATCTGGCTAACTTCCTTAGAGTGCTATAATTTTAGTGAGAGACATAGAAGTGGAACTGGGGTATCCAGAAGTGAAACACTTTCCTACAATGGTTGTTGACACCTTGAAGTGAACCAAGAAGCGAGAAATAGAGCTGCAATCAGGAGGTAACGGGAGGTTGCCCGCTGACTTCCTCACACCAGTCCATGCACTACACACATGCGAGTGGAAGGGGCGACACCCAGGTGTGAGGTCTCTATTTCTAGTGAGGTGTTAGTTCCAGCGGCCTGGCATCTTTTCTCTCATGTATTGGTACTCTCTACCCCTTGGCACTTCATTGACGTATAATCAGACACTTGTCTTCCTCAGGATGTGGGCACGTGCCCTGCAGACCAACAAAGGGAAATGCCCCCTTTCTGCTGGTCCCTGTCCTTCCCCCCACACCCTGCCCTCCACACTAGTTATCCCCAGACATAAGATGTGTCAGAAACACATCAGGACCTCGGGGCTGGGTAGGAATGGCCTTCTGGCGCATGGCCAGGCGCATTGAGGCTGCTGGATGAGGACCGACTGCACTTGGAGCAGCAACACCTCCAGCAAGGCAGGAGATAGCAACCTGGACACGTTATCCCCACATGTGCTCTGTCTTCTATGTCAAATTGCCACTTTAGGAAAATCCCCATTAAAAATTTTTGTTGTTGTCCCTTAATTAGAAATAAGTAGAATAAAATAACTGATGTAAAAATGTTTTGTGTGTTTTTTTTTCATTATAGAAATGGTTTTGTTTTGGGTTTAAGAAAACAATCATGTAGAGATTCGACTCTTTTTGATCCTTTGGCCCTTCAGCATCAGCATTTAGGCAACATCTCTTAATACAAACCAGGGACTGCTGTGCGCAGCGCTTTGGGACTGTCTCTCACAGTGGGCAGGCTGCAGAAGATCCTGGCTGCGGGTGGGAGGGGGCGAGTCCAGCGTAGCAAGCCTCACGTCTTCCGGGGGCTGCAACCTTTGACAAGTGGAAGGAACTGCTTCTCCTCATGCACAGAGGACCCTACACCCTCCCCAAGGACTCGGCAAATTCTCTGTTCTAAACGCCAAACCTCTCATTCTCAGAATGACTATCGGAAGCTGTCCATGCAATGCAAAGACTTCGTGGTGGGAGTGCTGGACCTGTGCCGGGACTCGGAAGAGGTGGAAGCCATCCTGAACGGAGACCTGGAATCGGCGGAGTCTGTGGAGCCTCACAAGCACAAGGCCTCCCTGAGCCGCGTCAAACTTGCCATTAAGTATGAGGTCAAAAAGGTGAGTGGCTGCTCCCGGCCAGGGTGTTGGGATCCACACGGAATACCCGCTAGGCTGTGATGCCTGGACATTTCTCCAGTAATGAGAGTAGATGTTGTGGTAAAAGACCCTTTTTCCTTCGTGAAAGGAATGAGTGAGGCATCCTGGTAAAGTGGGGAGTCAAATACCGAGCTTCTGATCCTCTCTACTCTTGATGGGTTGTGAGAACTGGGATAAGTCATAGGACTTCCTTACATTTCGGTTTCCTCTATAAAAGGCAGATAAAATTTCTTATCTGTCTCTGGGATTTGATGGGATTTCATTGGATTGAGATATGCCAAAGAATCTAAACTGCCCATCACGATGCAGTTGGTAATAATAAAATCTGTTACTTGTACATGCTTTTGGAAGGGACTGTCACAGACTTTCTCAGGTTAATCCTTGCACCAGACCTATGTTATTATCCATTTTGCCTACAATATAGATCAGATAGATGATGAGATTTTTATTCTACAAAGAAACTAAGGTTCTTCCAGCTTAAATGACAAGTCTGAGGTCACAGAGCTATGGAGTTGGTCATGCATTTGCCAAAAATAAAATTATGATTTTTTTTAAATCTGGTTACTTTAGATAAACTGTTATGTGTATGTATCTGCTACTTGTATGGGGCTTTTAAATAATTCATGAAAATTGAGGTTATGATGTTTTACTGTAATAAAAATGTCTTACCCAGAATAACATATGTTATTATATGTTAGACAAATGAAATTGTTTTGTATCTTTAAGAGACGCTGATAAATTACAAAGAAGTAAGCTGTTATCAGTAGCACTGGTGTCATGCAGTGTGGCAGGGAGTGGAGGAGAGTAGGCCTGCCAAGGGTTCAAGCCCCCGTGTGACAATGGGCACCCACCCACTCCTGATGCCCTTTCCCCCACCTTTCCCTTCTGTTCCCCAAGGAAAACCTCCTCTTAGATTATAAGGATGCATGTCTCCCCTCCACCGCCTGTAACCCCTCCCCCAACACACACGCTGTGGCCCCAAGGTGCTATGGCTACATGAAAGGCATTGGGACTTCAAGATAACTTGATGTGTTACAGAATTTTCCCTGCATAAAATTATAAACACATATTTATTCACATCAGCCCATAATTCCACCAAGGACACCAGTTTTATGTAATGGCAGTCTGCTTGGGTCCATAAGAGACTCAGGAAGTGTCTCCTGCCATCTGCCCAGATCCCTCCCCGCACTTCCCCTGGCTCGGGTTCTGGGTCTACGACTCCTCTCTGGGTTCGGAGCTGCTGGAGCTCAGAAATTGTACCATGGGTTCAATCAGACCTTAGAGATTCAATGGCATTTCATCAGGAAAACGAAAATATGAAAGATCTGATATCAGGGGTCTCAACATGAATTTAATGATTATGTGGGAAAGAACTTTTCCAAAAGAAAAGCAGTAGAGGGAATAACAAAGCAAAAATAGACATAGTTTGATCACATGCAGCCCGTACATTGGAAAGATCTGGGAGAAATATTTTTCTCAGTTATAACTTATAATGGATTGCTGTTCTTAATATCAAACGAGCTCAGACAAATTTATGAGAAAATTTTCCAGAGCTCTATAGAAAAATAAACTAAGAGCTTAAACATGTAATTCACAGAAAGATCAAATGGCTAACAAACATTTAAAAACTTTCAAGTACCTTGGTAACAAAGGAAATGCATATTTCACCTCTCTTAAATTATTAAATAATGAAAACTTATAATTCTTAATGCTGCTGATGAAATGGGCTATCAAATGCTGCTGGTGGGAAATAATAATATACTTTTTATCAGGAATTTTGAAGACTAATCATCATTTCTAAGGAGTTTATAAGGGAAATAACACAACTGGAAAATGGTAAATACTGTTACTGTTCATAGGGTTACCTATTATACATTCTTCTACTATGGAGAACAGAAGATGAAATTGGATTTTTTTGAAAATGCATACAAGAAAAAACACACACAAATTATTTTTTTTAATTAGAATAAGGGACTGTTTGTGCCCTCTTCCCCCCTTCCCAAGTCCTGAGTTCTAGTTCTGTCTGTCCATCTGTGTGACTTAAAGAGGAATGCTAATCCCCTCCACCCACAGGCATACTAAGACTTCTGCCTATTGCTAGTAGCTCCGTTATTCTAAGAAAGCCCTTGGCAAAGACAGGAGATATCAGATCTTCATAAAAAAAAAGGGCTCTGAGGAGGAGGGGACATTTCCTCAGTTCCCAGCTGCTCTTCTCTTTCCTCCATGGTGGGATTAAGTGTAACTGGAATCAGCCACCCAGACATGCAGCAATATCTTATCTAATAAAATAGTAATATGCAAATTAACCATCACTTCGCTATACCCACAAGCCATGCCCACCACCCAATCAGGAGAGAGTATGCAAATTAACCCAACCAAGATGGCTGCAGCCACAGAGAGAGCTGGAGGCTTGGGTTTCCCTGTAATGTAGGAAGCCAAGTTTTCCACACACTCTGGTGGGCCCAGGCCTCCATTGAAGGCTATAAAGTTTCAATTATAGAAGATAAATAAATCCCAGATTCGGAGGCCTCCTTTTGAGTTCCTGGGGGGGGAGGGAGGGGGGGCTGATCTGCAAACCACCACAGGCCCCTTGCCCAGGCTGCCCCACATCCCAAGAGAACCTCCACCCTGATTCGGGACACCCTTCAAGGCAAACCAACTGACCCCCACTCATGCACCAGGCCTCTATCCTATCTAATAAAATAGTAATATGCAAATTGACCATCACTCCAACACATAAGATAGCAGCCCCTGTGTGGTCAAAGATCCTGCCCCCATGTGGACACAAGATGGCCACCACAAGATGGCCAGCAGTTGAGGGCAATTGGGAGGGACCAGGCCTGCAGAGGAGGGAAGTTGGGGGTGACCGAGTCTACAGGGAAGGGAAGTTGCTGGGGAACGCAGGCTTGCAGGGGAGAGCAGGTGGGGGAGGACCAGGCCTACAGGGGAGGGCAGTTGGGGGGGACCAAGCCTGCAGGAGAGTACAGTTCGGGGTGACCAGGTCTGCTGGGGAGGACAGTTAGGGGTAACCAGGCCTGCAGGGGAGGGCAGTTGAGGTGACCCAGGCCTGCAGAGGAGAACAGTTGGGGGAGGACCAGGACTGCAGGGGAGGGCAGTTGTGGGGGACCAAGCCTGCAGGGGAGAGCAGTTAGAGGTGATCAGGCCTGCAGAGGAGGGCAGTTAGGGACAAACAGGTTGGCAGGGGAGCAGTTAGGCATCTATCAGGCTGTCAGGGGAGTGGTTATGGGGTGATCATGCTGGTGGGCAGAAGTGGTTAGGGGCAATTAGGAAGGCAGGCAGATGAGCAGTTCAGAGCCAGCAGTGCTGGATTATGAGAGGGATGTCCGATTGCAGCTTAGGCCAGATCCCATTTTGGAGAGGGTGCAGGCTGGGTTGAGGGACACAAACCCGTGCACAAATTTTGTGCACCGGGCCTCTAGTAAACACAAAGTTATTCCCAGTACCAGCAGAGAAAGCTCAGAGGTGGATCCTTGCAGCAAGACACATGTGGCAGAGATTTGGAGCGCCTGTGCCAGCAGGGCCCTGACCCCGCACCAGGCAGTCTCCTCCGGTCTGTGCCCAGGCACTGGGAGGTGGCAGAGCAGGTCATACCTGGTGGGTTTGAAATCCAGAAAACTTGCACCATGCAAGTTTTCCATTTATGCATCACAATGCATGAGCTTTGAAAAGAAGATGAAATGATCTAGGTTGTACCCACCGGAATATTTTATTTTAAATTGTATAAACTGAGGCTCCAACAATGATATCAAAAGCAAAATGGAACATTCCCACCATATTCTGAACCACTGGTTCCCCACGAAGATAGTTCTAGGAAAGGCGGATTTTATGAAAACATAGTGTAACGTGAATTTTTTCTTAATAGTCTGCCATGAATGGGGGTTACAACCTAGATATTAGTCAACTTGGCAGGAAAAAGGTGTTTTGTCAATGCTACAGTCCTTTTGTTCCATGGAAAGACTGGCATTTTCTTATGTGTCAATCATTCTTTCTTTAAATCAGGAAACCTCGAATAAGGGTATTATTTTTGGAATGGTTTCAATTTGCTGGTTCACTGGCATTAGGAACCAGCATATTCATTCTCTCCAGTCACTAGGACTGGCAGGCAGTGGCAGGGGTACTTTAGGAGGTAAAACAGTCCAGAGGTAAAGGTCACTGCCCTGTGTTGAAGTCATTAAAAAGAGAAAACTCATCTCCGAGAGGGATTAGCTTTTCTGCCTTAACTTACTACTGTTGCATCAGTTTCATTTTATTTTTTAAATGGCCCTGTGTGCCCGTGTTAGGATTTAAAATCACTGGGGAAAATACTTGCATTTTTTCCATGGATTAAAAGAAGTCAACAGCCCTGGCTGATTTTGCTCAGTGGTTGGAACGTTGGCCCACAGAGCCTTGGCCCACTGACTGAAGGGTCTCACGTTTGATTCTGTTCAAGAGCATGTACCTTTGTTCAAGGGCAGGCTCAATCCCTGGCCCCAGGTGAGGCATGTACAGGAGGCAACCAATCAATGTGTCTTTCTCACATTGATGTTTTTATCTTTTTGTGTCTCTACCCCTCCCTTCCACACACTCTAAAAATAAATGGGGGCCGGGGAAGGGGAAGTCAACAGATGCCATACAGGTGATGTTTATTATCTCAATTAAGAAGAGGGGAAAATTAGTAGTATAGGAAGAAGACCTATTCAGCTGAAGAGTAAAGTGTGACAAGGTGCAAACATCGTATTTAACATAGAACTGCACTATGTGAACAGGTCACGGTGAGACAAAGATGGATCACCCTCTCGTGCCACATGGAAAGGATGGATTTCCATCAAGTTTTTGAGGCTATGTACCCTTATACAGTGTAATTAATGCCATAAAGCACATCTTCAAATTTAAAGAGCAGTTGGAGGAGGGGAGTGGGAAGAGGGAGCCATACTACAACATGAGTACTTCTGTCCTCACGA